ATCAAATTTACGCCAACCATCTTACCATCCAACGCGAATTTCACTGTTGGCCGCGGGTGCAGGCTTGCAGCTGTTGCTTTCATTGTGATGTGTTTTCTACTACTTTCGGATAAAGAATAATTGCGGGTGTTTAATTCGTGTTTATGGACTTTATATTAACGAAATAGAGAACATAAACGTGTTTCCAGTAGCGTCTTGTCCAACTATTTGAGAGCATGTTATAATATCAAATTTATGTCCATCCGCACAACAACGCTCGAATTACTTCACAGTCGGTATTTAGGCGCGGTTGCCGCGATACCTTCATTGCCTTCAACATGAGATGTGCTTTTCCGGCGTTCTTTTCGATTGGTTGAAGTTATACTTTTGATTGGTTGAAGTCTAGTTATTTTTCGTGTCATTTTGCCGATAGTGAGGTCGAATATGTTGAGGATATATTTACCCTTGCCGCCATCGATCACGTTGAGTCTGCTATGCTGATGTCTAGGGTAGATTTAGCTACTCGCGGAAGTATGTATTTTACAAATATGTTGTGTATGGTCAGCGTGGTTGAATAATTTTTTAAATTAAGTAAGTAAGCAAGTATGTATAAGGCTAAATGATTTGTTTAGGTAGGCTATATAGCGATTGTTTTGGGAGGAACCATATAGTATGATAACTGATTAGTATCCTCAGATAACGCATAACACTGAGTCACTAGAAGAAAAAAATATCTATATCTTTCGAAACCAAAGCTTATTGCTTTTGAAATAAAGTATTTTATTATATACAAAAGCGAGAAGAGAAAGGGGCACCCGCGCAAGAGCACAAATCCATTTATCCGCGAGTTATTACCGATAAAACCTTTGCATTCTCGTGCACAGAGTCCTTGTTTTGAATCCGGTTTTGTCTATTTCGAGTCCGGGTTTTCAGAAGTCAAGTCCGGGTTTTGTTAAACACGAGTCCGGATTTTCTTCGAGTCTGGGTCCGGGTTTTTCTCGAGTCCGGATTTTCTTCGAGTCCGAGTCCGGGTCCGAGTCCGGGTTTCGAAGTATGCCGTTTCTGTTCTCTTGTAGTAAAATTGTGTATAATAAAACAGGCCGACCGTTTAATAGTGGTAATAGACAAAACAAAATATGACTTGGGACGGCTCGCAGGTGGTCGCGGCCGCTTAATGGAGATGGCCGTTTAGTATAGAGGTGTATTCTATATAGTTAATTATAGGGAATATTTTTGGGACTTCGACATGTGGCAGGATTGCCAGATTGCTGAATAAATAAGCCAAACATTGTTATAAACGGCCCTTTGATGTTTTTGTTTCGAACAAAGAAAACAAAAGGTTATGACATAATAATATTTGGCTTACATATTCAGCAATCTGGCAACCTTGACATGTTGCCGTTTAATAGAGGGTGGCCGCTTAATAGAGGGCCGTTTAATGAAGGTTCGACTGTATTTGCGAAAAACGGCGTATCAAATATCAACCAAGCGTTGTTCAAAAACCTTCACAAATTCAAACGTTTGTATCTCGCTAAACGCTGAACGTGCAATTTAGGCACATTTTATCTGCTTACGAAAAATTAATTCGCAAATTATGAATTACTAACAAACGAATTTTTGACACGTACGAAATGTGCGTATCCTTTTCCAAACTGTGTTTATCACAAATAGAAATCGATTGCGTAGGCATTAGAATGCTGGATTTGGAACGGATGATGGTTGCAGTTGCATACTAGATACATATAACTTGAATATTTTCATCATTATATTTCCAGAAATATAAAGATGGTTCCGAAAAATATTTTCTTGTTGATTCTGATACTGTTACCACTGGCGATATCAATGCCTTCTGAATTACGCCGGTTGAGGCGATCTGTAGGCAGTTACCAAGTGGAGGGGTGTTTCTCGTATTTTAATGGATCAGGTTTCACCAAACAACGCGGGAATCATAACTCAAACATCAGATGTCAAGATACGTGCCGAGACAAAGGTTATATTCTGGCTGCAACAAAAGGAGGTGAATGTCATTGTGGAAATATCTATCCAAAAGGTAGCAAAGTGGATAACAGCCAATGTTCGAGCAAATGTAGGCCTTACACCCCATGCCATGAACCCCAGAGTTGCTGCGGAGGACCAAATGCATATTCTGTAAGTGTTGTTGGAAATATTGATGTAGCAAAACAAGTTCTTCGACGGCTCAGTTACGAATGGCAGACAAACGACGATTATCGTAATCATCTCAAAACACTTGTCACAATTCTAAGTCCTCAAACCGAACAAGCCAATTGGGAGGAATCATTTGATCGCGAAGGATGGTCGTTATGTGGAAATGGCAAGTATATGACAGGATTGTACAGAAATAAGTTTAAGTCCGGCGATGAAAGAATCGGAAGAATTGAGTTCGCCGAATGTCGTGACGCTCCGACTAATCTGTATCCAATGAAGGAATATTTCGATTGTTACAACCATAACTGGTGGTCAAGTTTTAATAGCATTGGCTGGTCGAAATGTAACACGGGATACTACATGGCAGGTATTTACAACACAAATGGGGCAGAATTATACCATATCGAAGAAGCAAAATGTTGCCGACCTAAATCTCAAGAAAAGCTTTGGGGAAAATGTTACAATCTCGATGTCTGGACTTCGTTTGATCAAGAAGGATGGAGCAAATGTCGAAGTGGTTATTACATGGCGGGACTTTACAGAAATAATTGCGAGAGACTTGGTTGTATCGAACATTTTTTCTGCTGCAAGATGGGAGCGTACAAAAGAGGTTCATGGATTGAAAGCCCAGATCTATTTATAAAAGTAAAAGATGCAGCAGGACAATTGAAGCACTGCTCAATGAACGCGATGGATAAGTCGCCATCAAGCGAAACGTACAAATGCAAGTCCGCATCTGATCTCACTAACATGTTGACACTTAATGCACTGAAGTTCATAATCGAAGACAAGACGCCACTTAACACCGCCAAGCCTGAATCAGTTGCAGGTTTCCGTCCTGTCATTTGCTCATCGCACACAAATTCATACAAGTGCTCAAAATGGCTAACCACGTCAATTTCCACTTCATCCAGCTTCAGTATTGGCACTGGGTTCACTTTGGCGGTAAAAGTTGGGGCATCTGTGGAACTTGAAGCCAAATTTTTTGGTTCCGGAACCAAAACAGCCTTTTCAACCGAAATATCAGCTTCAACATCTTTCGACGTGGAATCTAGTAGATCAAATACATATACTACAACGGACAGGACGGACGTTTCAGTTCAAGTGCCAGTAAACACCGAAGTTACGATCAATCTTCTGCGAACTGTTCAGAACTTGGTATACAAATGGAAAGCGGATTTTCAGATGTTGGGGAAGTATTCTCTAAAATGGAAAAATGAGCAGGAATTCTTCCAAGATGTGACGACGGTGCTAACCGGACCAAAGAGGAAAATATATGCGTTTGGAAGTTGGAATTATCCAGACCCCGACGTTCTCAGGGTGGTAATCACTGACAAGTATGGAAATGAGATGCGTTCAGGATGTGAGCATAACGCTGGTGAGACAGTAACAGAATGTGAGCCATAAAGAATGAAAAAACTTAATTGCAAGATTTATTATTCAATTTATTTTCTGATATGGATTGTTTTTCAAGAACTTGTCATAAGTAACCAACTACATTACTTAGTTTAATTATTATAATTTGATTGGCACTTATTAAAGCTGGACAATGTCCAAAATTTGAAGTTATATATTTTCAATACCGCCAGACATATAATGCATTTGATTGAAATATCTATATCGGAAGGATTTATGTTGTTTATATACCCATTACATCCATCTTACTTTTCTCCAGGGGTTTTGAAGTTTAGCTTTGTTATTTAATACTAGCGTATCATTATACATATAGCTATAGAGCTTAGCGTTTGAAAGTAGTTATACCTGAGCAGATAATAGCCTGTATTGTTCTGCAGTCTTTCTGGCCAAACATGCATTGTAGACCAATAGGTCATTATGCAATCAGAAATTTCTTACAGCTGTTAAGCTGAATTTCCAATTTAAAAATGACTTAGTCTTAGTGTTGAAAGGAACAAGAACGACATGTTTTTTACTAGCTAGTTATTGCAATAAGATTAGTTATTTCAGTAAGTATCTATTCAGTTTAATTTTTTGCTTGCAGGAATCATTTAGCGAGTTTGAGTTCGCGATGTTCTATTAGTTATCATGATTACTATTTTGGAGGTGGGTGTCCTGCATGGGACCTTTTATAAGAGCCCTGTTCGTACCTTACCTTTTTGGATCTACATTTGATATCTAGGTTATTTTAACTTAATGTAATATTTGTTCTGTTATATTCTTTTGCTTATTAAAAATTGTGAATATCGATCCAAATAAAATTTGTTAAATTAAAATTTACATCTCGAGTCATGATTGAGCATGCAACAAAAAGTGCAAAACTACTGTATACAGTAAGGATATATGGATATATGCGATACACTTCGCGCGTTGATGCCATAATAGTCATTATAGTCAGAGATCAATGCTTGTTTTACCGTTTAACTTCTAATGGTATTATTGGTATACGGCAAGAATAATCGTGCCTGCATGGAGTTGATTAAAGTACGTTGGCTGTTCATGTTTTGTTTACGTGGTCTGGTATTTTCTGAAATCAAAACTCTTTCTGCTGCATTGTAGATTACTATAAGTTGTTTTTGCCATAGAAACTGATAAGATGCCTTCGACTATAAAGGTTATTCACGCCGAAGAGATGAGCCGAAGTTCCTTAATCAGGTATATATTGGCGATATTGCCAATTTGTGTGTTAGCTTACTCTTGTTATTCTCACTGTGATTTCAGTTTAAATTTTTTTGTTGTATTTTATACAAACGTTGCGTCTGATTTTTTCCATTCCTTTCCCATTGCTATTGCAATATTGTGCGGTTCAATTTGCTTTTGAAGATCTGCAGCTACCGAGTCTTGAATTTCAAACTATTAATTAATAATGGTAGTAGAAAGAATAGGAGTGCTATTAATGCCATAATCATACGAGTTATTACGAAATCAACCGACCGCGTATATAGGCCTACGTAGCGGAAATTGATTTCTTAATCACGAGTATGATTTTGGCATTAATAGCTAGCACTACTAAGTAAACTTAGTTCGTTCTATTACTTATCAGTTATATATTTTCTGTAATCAAACTGTTTTAAAGAACCGTTTTATTGAAATTCAATATGTTAAATTTGGTGAAAATTTTTAGTAGGCCCTAAAAAGTACAATTTTGAATTAAATTGTTTAAGTAAGTTCCAAGGAATTATTTAGAGCTACTTCTTGTTTGATATTAAGTAATTCTTGAATTAAACAAAGCGTGGGAAACTATGAGTGAAATCGATTCATTCTAAGCCAAGAAAAAACAATCCGAAAAATTGAACTCCGTGAGAAAATGAGCATGCTTGGCAAAATTTTCGAAAGATTTCGCCATGACAACTTCAAGCACAGACTTCAAGTTCATGTTTTGGTGGGAAATTTGCAATGTTCAATATTTAATTACTTTTTTATCGATCTTGAAAAGTACGAACAAAACCTAGTGTTCTACTTACGTAAACCTTTGGAAAACTATATAAATATTAAATAAATATAATAAACATAAGTATTTTGTATAGTAATTATGGAGAATGAATCAACCACTTCGGAAGTTGACAACACAGCAGAACCATTATTAACAAGGTGGATAAAGAACTTACAGTTTCTTTCAGAATTTACATTTGAATTTTTGAAAAAATCACTTAGGATATTGAAAAAATTACCTAAGGAGAAGCTTACAAACACAAGAAATTGGGATATGGATTGTTCAAGGAAAAATATGTTCAAAATGTAGGAGTAAAAGCAAATGTATTGAAGGACCAATTTTGCCGTTTTCTGATTAAAGCAAATGTGAATGCTGCTGTGAAAAAATATTTATACTGTATATGTTCACCTGAATCAAAAAACTGGGAAAATTTTGCACAGTAACTGCACCTGCAAGGACGGCATAGGCTAGTGAACAATTGTTTAAGGAATGGCAAAATCGGGTAACAGCCTCAAATTTTAGGTCAATAATAAAAGAAGAAAATTCATTTATTCAAATACCTTTAGCAAAAGCAAAAATTCTACCCAACATGTAAATGCCCCTGCACCATGCAAGTGGGGAAATGATAAAGAAGAAAATGCTATCAATGCCTAGAGGGGAAGAGTGTCAGTGTGTGCTGTAAGTGTGAGATAATAGTTAATTCAACTTCCCCTTTGTTGGGTGCTAGTCCAGATTTTCTCATGTCTGACACCTGTGAGAAAGATTACTTTGGGGTTGAAGAGGTAAAATGCCCTTACTCAAAGAGACATAACTATTAATGAGGCTGAGGCTGTATTTGTTATATATAACAACCATTTCAACCTAACAAGAAAAGTATTGGTTGATTTTTTATTGTAATTCTCTTTATAATAGCTGCAAGTCTAATTGGTCTTTGAAATTGTTTTGGCTTAACCCATTAACGTCCAAAACTCTTCCCTTGACGAGTAAATACTAAAGTAGGGCGCATTGCAAGTTAAAGGGTTAATTAACAGGACATGATAGTAGATATTCTTGTTAACCCATTAACATCCAAGACTCTTCTTCCCTTGACGAGTAAAATCGTCTGGCGTTAGAGTAAATACTAAAGTAGGGCGCATGGGGGTGCATTGAGCGTTAAAGGGTTAAAACAATAGTTGAAGACGCGGTTAACCGTAGTTAATCCTTTGTGCGTGGCATGATCGACCACGAAAAAAACAAAAAATAACCCCCCAAAAACTGTGGATAAACCGCAAAAAACCCTGCAACGGCAGTGTTTGGTTATTTCTGAGCGCTACTGTATATAAAAAATAATATGGTACAAAAAACTGTAGATGGTCTTTCATCTAACCAGCCTCGCAACTGTTTTACCGCCTAGGTTAATTCATAGTCCTGCCATCCTGGCTATATAATTCTATAAAAGTTTATTCATGCTGGCGAGAACCAAATTCATCACTGAGCACAGTGCATTATATATGTTGAGGGCTTGAATTTCATGTTCAAGTTGTCACACACAACATCAATTGATGTTTTAGTCTAACTCCAAGAAAACATAACGGCAAAGACAACGCTAAAACGAAATAGCGGTGCACATGCAACGATGAAATTTTTCGACGTTTCCTCCCTTTTCTCATTTTTTTCTCGCCTGGCCTTTCCTCGCCTCTCCCTCGGATGCCAATCGGTAATGCACGCAATGAAATTGATACATTTTTCATCTCATTTATTTTTTTTCCCCCTCAACCTCAAAAAGTATATTGTGCAATTGTAAATAAGTGCGTTAGGACATTTGAATGGGGTAAAAAGGTTAACTTCCAATTTCGTCAGTGGGAGAGTTATGAATCACTTATGAAATAATAGGTATAAGGTTAAACATGATCATCATATCTGAAGAAGGGGGCTGTAAGGATTTATTGTATTTGGAAGGAAAGATGTGCACAATGCAGGTATAGTCACTTCATCCACTCACTCTCTTCATACTGCACTACCTTTTATATCTAGGATCTAATTAGAATCTTAGTTCCCATCTAAGACATTCAAAATATCACCAGTTTCGTCAGCATCATGTTTATTTAAATTGTAATTTCCAAATAAATTATTATAATCATGCATCATGGTACAGCTTGACTGCTTTTTAATCAGTTACTCTATAGAGTTCACAATTATGTCCTGTGGATATACTACATATTCTGTCAGACTTTTCAGTTTATATTACTGACATCCTATTTGTAAAGGCCTGTTTACACTTGCAATTTTTGCTGCGATTTCTAGTGCGATTTTCGTCTTTTGACGGATGTGAACGAGTAGATGAGTTATAAATGTTGAGATGAGGGAACTTATACTCAGAACATTCGTAATTCATCTACTCGTTCACATCCATCAAAAGTAGAAAATCGCACTAGAAATCGCGGCAAAAATTGCAAGTGTAAACGGGCCTTAAGACAATTCTGTCTCGCTGCTCTGTTATAAATACTTACCACTCCAGTAAGTGAACGAGAAAGTACTGATTCGTTTAATAGAGCATTGTCCATAACTCATAAGAAATTATACTATCTTTACAAAGGGAATGCCTTTATATTTTAGAAAATTACAATATACATTGCAAGAACATATGTCAACCTCGATCGGCTCGAAGCCAAGCGTCCAACCCTTGAATGGATGCCAACTGTGACTGAATCATGAATGTACATTCTGAATACAATATTCGAGTGAACTGACAACATGTATTTGAAATTATTAGACTATGATTTCAAATACACGTCAAGCATTCCAAAACGACAAAAGTTACACAACTTCCATAATCTTTTTTATTTCTTTCAATTGTCTAAAAAGGTCTGGTTAGGCTACACTTTGTTCTGGAGGTGATATGCATGAAAAATAGCGACCTTAAGCATCGAGAACATTGCCGTCCGGGACGTTGACCGGAAATTATTTTTGTCTAATAGGCGTGACGTAATACCATCAGGACGCAGTCAAGGTTTTGTCCAGGACGTGGGTTTGCATTGTATTGAGATCTGGAGAAAACGCAAACAAAACCATGGCTTTTACCAGGAAAGCTCGGTCATTAAACAACGTCCCGGACGGCAATGTTCTCGATTGCTTAAGGTCACTATTTTCAAGTACCAGACACCCTTGGATTTGATGGAAAGTTCTTTTTCCCTAACCAAACCCCAAACTACAATTTATCAATGTTTGAATCAAGCTGTCTCTACTGGCATGAGGAAAACGAGACTTGGACAGGTGAAGGATGCAAGGTAAAGCGTGAACTTTCAATATTTAAGAATCATTTATCTTCTTGGGACATGTTCTAATAATTTGCATATCACGTTACAATATAGCTTCAACTCTAAGTAGCAAATTGTATAACGCTATGTTGTAATAGATAAGTGGTAATAAGTGTAACATAGCTCGTTTGCAACTTGTCGCAATTGATGTTCTCGCCAACACTGCATTTTCTGGATTTGTACAGAGGTTTGATTATAACTATTTGTCTCAATATAACCCTATAAAAATACTGCACTCGGAATGAACTAAAATGCGGGACGGTATATGTAGTAACCTAACCCAGGGCAATATTACATGTACATTAAATGCCTTGACAGACATTGTTTTTCCTCCAGCGATCGCGAAAAGTTGCAAACGACCTGCCTTAATTAATTCTTCTTACATTTTGCTATTAATGTGCTATACAGATCAGTAAGGAAGTAGAATGCATGTTAATTATGTTTGGCCATGAATTTCAAATAAAATTGGAATATTTATACTTGGTATTCACTAATATAAATCAATAATAACCTTTTGTTTATTTTTCCTTCTATGACAGGTGGTCTTGGGTACAAACCGAGAACAAATTTTGTGTAAATGTAATCATTTGACATCCTTTGGAAGCGAGCTTCTTGTTGCTCCGAATCCAATTGACTTCGATTCGGTTTTCAACAATTTTGGAAGTCTTGCTGAGAATGTAGCTGTACTGGCTTTGATTTCAACCATTCTTGGTGGGTACATTATTGGAGTTATTTGGGCTAGACGAGCTGATAAGAGAGACTTATTAATGGTAGGTGAACTTTATTCCTTGTCAATAAACAAAATATGAACAAATTGTACAGTCGGTTACAGCTAAATATGATTACACCCACTCATCCAATCAGCGCTTAAAATTTTCATTCACTATATTCCACGACTATATCTGAAATTACATCAAGTTGCAGGTCTGCAGAACTATTAAGCACAGGGAAATTGAGGAATAAAATCGTATTCACTTATATAGTTTGTGCAACTTATCAGTAAGGCTCTGTATAGCTATACTCCTTATAGTATGCTGTATATATAAAGCATATATACTAATTGGGTTATTATGTCGAAGTGACTTTATGTAAGTCCATGCAGCCAATCTCATCAAAGACAAAAATACATTTATTACAATTAATCTGTTATAATTTGTAACCCAACTAAATATTGCCATTGTTTTCACTCAAACTGCAAAGTCAAACTTGTTCACCATGTTTAATTACAGTGACGTTTTTCCAGGCAATTCTTTGTTTTCATTCTTTGTCGTCATTTTTGTATTGGTGAATGAGTTTTTCTTGTACCTCGATTTATTTAATTTTTCGTTCTGTAGCGAATCAGACATGGCTTTTACGCTCATTTGCAACTGCCAGCTCATTTGCAACTGCCATCTGCAGAGAACCAAACAACAAAGGACCAACAATGAGTCCCTCAAATTAGATAGAAGGCCACATATAGAGCCAGGCTCGTGGCCTTCTATCTTGGGACTCTATACCCCATACTAAAATCTTGGAACTCTATACCCCATACAGCATGCGCGTGATCATCTCAATCCCTTACTTAATTTATAATAATCTATCCCAAAAACTGTACTATAACAGGAGCTTCCATGTTAACTGGTAGATGCAATCCCACACAGACAATAACACTGACTATTTGTTTTGGAAAGGGCAAAATTTAAAGAAATACTCGTCAATTTTCGAATAGCCTGCGAACAGACTCTTTGAATTGAATTAGAGTTCAAAGAGAGCCTGTTCGCAGGCTAATTTTCGAATAGAGAAAGATGAAACAACGCCAAGTGGTTCAACTCTATAAACAAAGTTATACTTTACAAATACAAGCTGAGAAAATGTCCAAAAATGGAAAATAAATATTACTTGTTTTCGTGGCAATACTGAAAGAGCTGAGCTGGCAGCAGAGCGAAGTGGCGTAGTGTAAACACCATTGTTTTTTGTCTTCAGAGTGAAAATTGACCAGTATGAAAAGTAATCCGGTATAGTGAAAACGGGGTCATAGACTGCATTCCTACGAATACATATTCAAGTAAGGTATACATTGTACATACGACTCCCCCCTCATGAGCCCAGACCTCATTTCCCACGCTCACCTATTGTACGAACTTCCGACTTAATTTATGTTAATTTATAGGACATTTAGTTGGCGCACGCGTAGTTGACATTAGTTCGCGCATGCGTGGGTAATTGAA